TGTGTGTGTTTCTTTTTGTTTCTTTTGGTAGGGAACAAAACCTACCGAGTCAGTATGCTAAGATCATGTAAGACAACGCGTGGCGTGCAATTTTCGATTCTTGAGAAAGAGTACGGATAGAATACGGATACAGAAGACAAAACGTGAAAATGACATYTAAGTGGATCTAAATGTTTCCTYGCCTTTTCATTCGTACTCACACATCAATCTGGTTGCCGTCACAGCAATGCAGCATTGTGTCTGCRTGCGTTCAATATATCTGCAAATGTTATTAACTATGTCCTCAGTACAGACGGCGGGAGTTGCAATAGATTGATAATGGCTATGCTATAGCCATCATCTTTTTGGCTATTTTGTTCGCGATCGTCATGTTGATTGGTCGGACAAGCTTGACTTATAGGATTATTCTTTTTTGATTGATATACCAGCTTGACTGAAAATAGTGAATTATACCTTAAGCAAAAGCACTGAAAGATGACATACAGCAAAAAAAAAACAAAGAAGTGGAACCAATCTTATTCTTGGACGGTCAACARAAGCACTCTATGGTAATTCCGTGTAGCACGACTAATTAACGGACTAAGTACAGGACCATCTTCAGCAGGCTCTTCTCCTGCCACTTTGCCGAATGTGATGGACATCTCCTCAAGGTCTGTCAGCCTTCTGTTGCCGTTTTCCCCGGAGACGACCTGTGTTATTTCTAGCGTGGAGATCTTGCCCTGTCGAGGGCCGCGATTTTATGTTCCATGCCACCCGTTGGAGGGAGCGGCTCACTGCTACATGCAGGAGGGATTGGCGGACTCTTGCCCGGTGACATTGACGGGCTTCGAACCTGCTACGGCGGACAGGTGGGCCGAAATGACTGTGAAGATGGACAAGAATGGAGTTGTGTCCGCAGTAGCCCGCAGCTGGTTCTCAGCCAAAAAAGTGGACGTCGTGATCAACGCTGCGTGCTGTCGGCAGCTCACGAGCGAGGAGATCTCGGCGATCCAGAAAGACATGGAAGAGTACAAAACCTGGGAGGAGGATAGGAAGAGGAGGAAAGAGGCTTGGAATGAGCTGCACACGTACGCTTCMGAGTTCGTTCATCGAAGCCTCACCAAGCTGAGGCGCAAAGTGCATAACGTCATGAATCAACTGTCAGACGTGAAGGCTTGGCTGGGGACGTTGAGTGGTAGTCCCCCACCTGTTCCCCATTTCCGTTCTAGGATGAGGAAGCTTAAGGTTTCGCTTGCGACACGCAAGTTCACAGTCATCGGAGTCTTGAATCCTACGGGTTGGTGTCGATCGTGTTTCCTTAAGCCACTTGGTGATATTGCGAGCAGCCTGAGCTCCGCTCTTGCCGACGCCGATGACGTGTGTGAGGTGATTATCTCAACGACGAAAGATCGCTTTGGACATGTTTACCCGGCATGCAAATCATCGTGGAAGGTTGGACTTAACGTTTGTCCAATCTGCAAAGTCGGAGCTGCAGGTTGGGAGAGGGTGAGAGGGTTCTCCACCCCGGTGGTCGTAGCATGGAGGTGCGTCCACTGCTTTCCGGAGCGGAATGCGTCCCACGAGGACATCGGGATCGCGGCAGGGCCTTTCGTGCTGGCAGGGCTGACCGTCGTGGTGTGCRTCCGTGAGASATCGGTTGATAAGCAGTCRGGATCCYGGCCACTGCTTCAGCAGATCGAGGCCATACATGCTCGCATTGATGGGAAATGGACGAACGTCATCRTTGCGTACAAGCCAATGTGGCCTACCCAACGGAGCTCTGCGGAAAGAGTTGCAGATGCGGCAGCGTCGCACGAGATTATTCGAAGCTGGATGGCTGACAATGTCAACGAGRAGACTGCGGCTCGAATCCGCATCATTTATGCGGGGTACGTTACTCGAGACAGCTGGCATGCGCTGGCCGAGACGCTCGATGTGGATGGATTTCTCATTGATCTGCAGGACACCAAGGTTGATTTCGTACACATCGTGAAATCCGTAGTACAGGAGTCACGAGGAGGAGGAGGAGGAGGAGGAGAGCAAGCGCGGAAGTAATAGACGTATGTACTTTGTAGTGGTTTGAGGAGGAGGAGGAGGAGGAGGAGGAGGAG